GGGGTACAGAAGTCACGTCCAGGACTACTCCAAGACAACATATAAGCACCGTAATAGATACGCTCAAAGGGCTAGCGTAGCACAAAAGAGGTTATCTAACCTAGCCGACAGTTCAGGGCAGGTCCCTTAAAGGAGCCAGGTGGCACCTGGGCTGAACTGCAAGGGATAAGGGGTTAGCCAAGCAGTCCGTGAGTAACACCCAGCAGACACAAGGAGTGAACCAGCGCATACTTCACTGGAAACTGACATCATTTACCCTGGTTAGAACTTGGATCCAGGTAAAGAAATATAAGGAGATAATAAATAGAAATGAGATCATGACAGTCCCTGGACGCTTCACCAATGAGACTTGTCTTAAAGATGATGGGAAATCCACTGGATTGTAAGCAGAGATGTATCAGACTTATGTTCCCAAGAGCACATCCTAAGCTGTGAGAAGAAAGGATTAGAGGCGAGAGAGACTCGAGGCAGGGAGATCAGTGGAGAGGCAAACACAGCATTCGAGGAAAGAAGATATAAGGACCTCAAATAAGGTAGCAATAGTTGGGATGAAGCATGGAAAACAAATACGAAAGCAATCTAGGCTAACGGTTCTGAACGGTAGACGGTGGTTCCCAAACTTGGCTGCGCGTTAGCATCACTTGAGGAGCTTTTCAAAATTCTGCCTCTCAAGTCTCACCCCAGACCGAGTCAGCATCAGGATTTTGTAAAGATTACTGGGTAATTCCAAGGTGCAGCCAGGCTTGGGAACGACAGTGACGAGAAGAATAGCAAAGGAGTGGGCTGCAGGAAGAGGAAAGGTTCAGTTTTGAACACGTTACTTTAAGATGCCCGAGTCTAGCTAAACTTGGATGTCCAGCAGGCAGCTGAGTAAAAAGTTCTAGAGCTTGGGGTAATTTAAACCAACCAGCATCCCTTGGGCAGTAACGACAACAGTCGGAATGGCCAATATTGATCGGCCACCTGCCAGTGACAGGCACTTGTAAAAGTGCTTTTTCACACATTAACTTAACTCTCCCAGTAACTCAGTGAGGTTGGTACTGTTGTTATATCCATTTTACAGATGAGTGTTTTACATACATTACCCAAATCCAGCTCTCCCAACAATTTTATGAGGTTGGTGGCTGTCATTTCCCTGTTTTACAGATAAAGAAAGCAAAGTGGCAGATGCAAAGTAATATGTCCAAAGCCACACAGTGAGGATTACAGAAAGACTCTGAAGACAGACATCTCTAACCACAATGACGTCTAAAGCCACAGCGGAGGTAATGCTGCCTAGGAAGACCTTCTGGAAAGAGGAGGCCAAGGCAGAAACTTGGAGAATAGCAATATTTAATGCATAGGCAGAGGAGGAAGCATCCAGAAAAGAAGGGGGAGGAAAAGGGACACATAGCAAAAACAAAACAAACAAAAACTATGAGAGTTCTGAGTTCCAAAGAGAAAGATTAAGATAAGCACCAAGAAATAATCCACAGATGGAGCAATGGGAAGGTGGCTGGAGAGGCAGAACTGGAAGCCAGACCTTGGTGGGTTTGAATGGAGAAGGTAAAGAAATTATGATTTCTTTAGCCTATTCTTTTAAGAAGTCTGGCTATTAAAAGAAGGATAAAAAAGTAGTGACCACAGGGAGCCAGAGGATCGAGAAGTTGTTTTTCTTTTCCTTTCTGAAAATGAGAGTAATCGAAGCACATTTGTATCCTAAGGGAAGAGAGCCACGTGACAAGAAAAGGTTGAAGTCTCAGAAGAGAAACAGGATATTGGATAAGTGAGGTCTTTGAAGAAGCTGCAGCTGTGGATGGGACGTGGACTTCTTTCCTTGATATGGGAAGAAAGGAGGCAACGTGGTTAACGTGGGCGAGTTTGTATAAAGGGGTAATAAGTACATGGAGTTGTTGCCCTACAGCTTTTATCACCTCCATCGTCTGCTCGGCAGGAGGAGAGGACATAATTTATTGCACTGTCTTTAACAAAAGCTTTGGTCTGCACCATATTAGGGAAAAAAATGACCTGTTCCTATACAATGATTAGGTTGAGAAGCATTATACTAGACCATGAAGGCTAGAACAGACCAGAAAAGAGAAAATCATGCCAATTTGCCTATAAGAAGAGAGGGGTCACCTGAGTGGGTACTAGGACTCCAGATAAAAAGACAACAATGACATGAACCAGCCAAACAACAGGCAGGAGGAGAGCTGACGGTGATTACTCATCTTGATAGAGTAGCAATCATTCGCTACTAAGAACAGAAAAGTAAAAGTAGGTCCCTTTCCTAGTGAGTAGATTCTTCCTCTGATTTTACTAAACACCCCACCCAACCGCAAACGTGTCCCTACACAAACCGGACTAATCCCTGGCTGAGTTCATCAAACAGAGCACAGAAATCCCTCCCCAGCTGCACATTTCAGTCATGCGAAATTCTAGCACGCCTACCTTTTCAGCAACTGTGCGCATTTCAGTTCCCGTATATGTAAATTTGGAGTCACTCCTTTTGCGGATAAATTAGGAGAAAAAAGGGAACAGTAAAACCTTAGCAGAGAGAAAGGAAAAGGAAGGAAAGTAAACTGAAGCTAGAACTGTACTCATACATCTGTGAGAAGCAGTCTGGGACACATGCATAGGTGGCTGTGAGCCTGAAGGTTTTCACCGGCAAAGCTAAACTTCTAGAATCCTGGGAATTAAGGAGGTGGGCTTGAGAAGTACACGCTCGAAGTTAAATAAAAGTAACCCCAAGTTTTTACCATCTCAAGCATAGCATTCAAGCTTCTAGGGGTCTCTGAGATCACTGTAGGGCTCACCACCGAGAGGCAGAAAGACAGAGAGATGGAGGAGCCAATTTAGATGGAAAAATAGATCAATAGGGGGAAATATCTCTTAATGCGCATATCACCTGCCACAAAGAAAATCATCAGTACTCATCGTCATGTCGAGGGGGAGAGAACAAAAAAAATATCAAGCAAGAAAATGGAAAATAACAGCGCCATATAGGTCGACAAATTTCTACGTAAGAGCTTTCACAGATTCACTCCTGATCTTGGCTTCCCTCGACCGCATTTTTCACCTAAGGTCATGCATATCTCAATGGAAAATCCTACCAGGAAGTAGGGTGGAAAGCAACCCTCAGGGCTGGGATGGGATGAATTCAAAGTGTATCACTGAGGGAGCTCCGGACTGATAATGGTTACTTAAAACACAACCCATACACAATCTTGCCAAACTCGGCATAATTCTGAGTTAATAATGACATGGAGACCAACAGATGAGTAAACAAATATAGTCTTACCTTGTGTCATCATTCAACTAGAGTGGGAAAGAGCAGAAAACATTATTGATCACATTACGCTTATTAGATGTACATGGATGCAGATTACACGAAAATTGAGTCATGTGTTCCTGCATGCAGGCATGAAACACTGGAGAATTCTTCCTTCGGACCGGAAACAACTAAGCTCCATTTCCTCATCGTCTTTCGCCCCATTGCACAACTTAATGCAGGGGAAACCTGTGCGTCTTTGAAGTCCTCTCCTCGCTTAGCTTGTCGGATACCCTTAAAAGGCGTCCTAGAGGGAAGACTGGAGGCGAGGCGAGGGGCCCCAACCGTGGTCGGCCGCTTCCTAAGACACTGATGTCCTACTGAGAGAGGAGGCGACTGAGGAATGCAAAGGAAGGGGCTTACAGAGATGACCGACTCGGGTGTCGCTTCCTGCAACACTATTATGCTAGAATGTCTTCCTGGCCTATCGCGGTTTCGGTCGATTTGGGTGATAACTGCAGATCTAAAGAAATGGCCAGAGACTCTAGGAAAAAAAAAAAGCAAGCCCTCCCCCTGCCCCCAGGCTTATGCGGGTCGCCGGGGGACTGCGGGGGCGCTTAAAAAGCGTCAAGCGACCGGAGGATACGGGACCCCCGCGACAGGACCATCCGTCCAAGGATCTGAGCGCCTGGGGCCTCCGCAGCCCTGGACGCAGCTAGCACCCACCCGAGGACACGCTGGGAGTGCTGAGCAGGGTTCGGCCAGGCTAACTGACCTACTCACCTCCCCAATACACAGCCCCATCACCTCCTCCTTCTCTGTGCTCAGAGCGTGGTTGAGACACACGAGGAAAGCATCCGACTCCAGATGAACCGCCTGCACCGCCTGCACCACCTGCATCGCCATCTTGGTCCGACCCCGCTCCAGTCCGCCTCGGGCCCACTCGGGCCTGGCCAACCCCGAGC